GTATGCTCAAGGCTTATTCCTTTAAGAAAAAGGAGGAGTAGATGTAAAATAGAAAGAGACAGGTGCTCCCTTTACAGGCGACGGAAAAGAATAACAAGAGCGGCTAAAAGAGGCCAATATATCTGAAATGCGTAGGGAGTCACTGGTCAGAGAAATAGCAAACATCGAACTTAAGCTAAAGGAATCTTATAGGAGTCAGAAATCGCGGGAAGAACTAAAAGCCATAAATGAAATCGAAAGAAACTCAAAGTATTTCTTTTCTTATGCCAAATCGAAATCGAGAACAACATCTAGTATTGGGCCCCTACTTAAACAGGATGGGTTCTACACAGATGACAGCAAGGAAATGAGTGAGCTACTCAAGTCCCAATATGACTCAGTTTTTAGCAAGCCTCTAACCAGACTGAGAGTCGAAGATCAAAATGAATTTTTTATGAGAGAGCCACAGAATTTGGTTAACACAAGCCTGTCTGATAATATCCTGACGCCAAATGACTTCGAACAGGCGATAAATGACATGCCCATGCACTCTGCCCCAGGGCCAGACTCATGGAACTCTGTTCATCAAGAACTGCAAGAAGCCCCTATCACGAGCTTTTACCATCCTATGGAGAGGGAGCATGGACACGGGGGTCGTCCCACAGTTACTGAAAACAACAGACATAGCCCCACTCCACAAAGGAGGCAGTAAAGCAATAGCAAAGAACTACAGACCGATAGCACTAACATCCCATATCATAAAAATCTTTGAAAGGGTCCTAAGAAGCAAGATCGCCACCCATCTAGATGCCCATCAATTACACAACCCAGGGCAACATGGGTTTAGAGCAGGTCGCTCCTGTCTGTCTCAGCTACTGGATCACTACGACAAGGTCCTAGATGCACTAGAAGACAAAAAGAATGCAGATGTAATATACACAGACTTTGCAAAAGCCTTCGACAAGTGTGACCATGGCGTAATAGCGCACAAAATGCGTGCTAAAGGAATAACAGGAAAAGTTGGTAGATAAATTTATAATTTCCTCACAAACAGAACACAAAGAGTAGTAGTCAACAGAGTAAAGTCTGAGGCAGCTACGGTGAAAAGCTCTGTTCCATATGGCACAGTACTCGCTCCCATCTTGTTTCTCATCCTCATATTTGACATAGACAAGGATGTCAGCCACAGCACCGTGTCTTCCTTTGCAGATGACACCCGAATCTGCATGACAATCTCTTCCATTGCAGACACTGCAAGGCTCCAGGCGGACATCAACCAAATCTTTCAGTGGGCTGTGCAAGAAAGGTATAAAATACCGACAATATGAAAGTTAAGACACATGTGCAACATCTGGATATCTTTATTGTAGTAGACGTTTCGCCATCCAGTGGCTTTATCAATACAGATTCTAGGACATAATAGGATGGCGAAACGTCTACTACAATAAAGATATCCAGATGTTGCACATGTGTCTTAACTTTCATATTGTCGGTATTTTATACCTTTCTTGCACAACTTGTCAGACACTGCAACATCATGGAATCTTGGTTCAGAGGACATCTACAAGACCTTCCGGGCTGCTGCAACTAACCCATCTCTTTGGGAAGGACCTACTTCCACTGGGAAATCCCGCCTACCAGTGACTTTGCCCTCGTCTGCTGCCCGTCCCTATCCACTGACGCCTATATAAACCGCCAGTCTTCTTGTCTTTGCTCCAGATTCTCCTCCACCACGATGCTGTGAACACTAACTCCAAGGCCGAGGGACTGATTACCTCATCTTTTGTATATAGTTCTACTGTCTTCCTATTATGTCCTAGAATCTGTATTGATAAAGCCACTCGATGGCGAAACGTCTACTACAATAAAGATATCCAGATGTTGCACATGTATCTTAACTTTCAGTGGGCTGCAGAAAACAATATGAAGTTCAACGATGAGAAATTTCAATTACTCAGATATGGTAAACATGAGGAAATTAAAACTTCATCAGAGTACAAAACAAATTCCTTCCACAAATTAGAGCGAAAAACCAACGTCAAAGACCTGGGAGTGATCATGTCGGAGGATCTCACCTTCAAGGACCATAAAATTGTATCAATCACATCTGCTAGAAAAATGACAGGATGGATAATGAGAACCTTCAAAACTAGGGATGCCAAGCCCATGATGACACTCTTCAGGTCGCTTGTTCTATCTAGGCTGGAATATTGCTGCACACTAACAGCACCTTTCAAGGCAGGTGAAATTGCCGACCTAGAAAATGTACAGAGAACCTTCACGGCGCGCATAACGGGGATAAAACACCCCAATTACTGGGAGCGCTTGAAGTTCCTGAACCTGTACTCCCTGGAACGTAGGCGGGAGAGATACATGATTATATACACCTGGAAAATCCTAGAGGGACTAGTACCGAACGTGCACACGAAAATCACTCACAACGAAAGCAAAAGACTTGGCAGACGATGCAACATCCCCCCAATGAAAAGCAAGGGTGTCACTAGCACGTTAAGAGACAATACAATAAGTGTCAGGGGCCCGAGGCTGTTCAACTGCCTCCCAGCATACATAAGGGGGATTACCAATAGACCCCTGGCAGTCTTCAAGCAGGCACTGGGCAAGCACCTAAAGTCGGTACCTAACCAGCCGGGCTGTGGCTCGTACGTTGGTTTGCGTGCAGCCAGCAGTAACAGCCTGGTTGATCAGGCTCTGACCCAAGAGTAGGCCTGATCACAGACCGGGCCGCGGGGGCGTTGACCCCCGGAACTCTCTCCAGGTAAACTCCACGTAAACTCCTTACTTAGATGTCGAAATGCTATCCTTAGGTTTGCCAGGCGCCCGTATGATGCAGCAGTTATTTGGTAGATGTGCACCTCAGGAGATGTGCTCAGTATGATGCTCACCCCAAGGTCCTTGTGTGAGGTCTTTGACTCCCCGAGCCTGTACTCCGCAAGCGATCTTCTTTGTTTTTCCCAAAGTTTCATGGTCTGCAACCTGTTGTCTTTGTTGTCTTTCTGTGATCCTCGTCTGCTTGTAATTCTCATTAGTTTCACGTTGTTTACGTCGTCTGTTTATGTACTCACCTATATGTACTTACGCTATTTTGGTTATAATCATAACTATGATTTTTAAAGAGGTAGCCAAGCCAGTGGAAGGTCTCGGTCAGATGACCTAAGCTTACAGCTCTACGTCATCGTATGAGTTAAACCCACCCAGGAAACGCTTGTCCTGTTTCCTGACCTATATGTAGTTTCAGAGGTCGTGTCACAGCTCCTGACCCCGTGTGTGTGTACTCACCTATATGTGGTTTGCAGGGGTTGAGTCACAGCTCCTGGCCCCGTGTATATGTGTGTACTCACCTATATGTGGTTGCAGGGGTTGAGTCACAGCTCTTGGGCCCTGTGTGTGTACTCACCTATATGTGGTTGCAGGTTGAGTCCAGCTCTGGCCTTGTACACAAGTGGTGCAGGGTTGAGTTACACGAGGAAATTAAAACTTCATCAGAGTACAAAACAAATTCCGGCACAAAATAGAGCGAAAAACCAACGTCAAAGACCTGGGAGTGATCATGTCGGAGGATCTCACCTTCAAGGACCATAACATTGTATCAAGCGCAGCTGCTAGAAAAATGATAGGATGGATAATGAGAACCTTCAAAACTAGGGATGCCAAGCCCATGATGACACTCTTCAGGTCGCTTGTTCTGTCTAGGCTGGAATATTGCTGCACACTAACAGCACCTTTCAAGGCAGGTGAAATTGCTGACCTAGAAAATGTACAGAGAACCTTCACAGCGCGCATAACGGAGATAAAACACCTCAATTACTGGGAGCGCTTGAGGTTCCTAAACCTGTACTCCCTGGAACGCAGGCGGGAGAGATACATGATTATATACACCTGGAAAATCCTAGAGGGACTAGTACCGAACTTGCACACGAAAATCACTCACTACGAAAGCAAGACTTGGCAGACGATGCAACATCCCCCCAATGAAAAGCAGGGGTGTCACTAGCACGTTAAGAGACCATACAATAAGTGTCAGGGGCCCGAGACTGTTCAACTGCCTCCCAGCATACATAAGGGGGATTACCAATAGACCCCTGGCAGTCTTCAAGCTGACACTGGACAAGCACCTAAAGTCGGTACCTGACCAGCCGGGCTGTGGCTCGTACGTTGGTTTGCGTGCAGCCAGCAGTAACAGCCTGGTTGATCAGGCTCTGATCCACCAGGAGGCCTGGTCACAGACCGGGCCGCGGGGCGTTGACCCCCGGAGCTCTCTCCAGGTAAACTCCAGGTAAACAGCGCCTGGCCCCGGTGTGTGTGTGTGTGCTCACCTGTATATTGTTACAAGGGTCGATTCACGGTTCCTGGCCCCGTGTGCGTGTACTCACCTATATGTGGTTGCAGGGGTTGAGTCACAGCTCCTGGCCTCATGTGTGTGTGTGTGTGTGTGTGTGTGTGTGTGTGTACTCTCCTGTATGTGGTTGCAGGGGTCGATTCACAGCTTCTGGCTCCACATCTTCACTGGTCGTGTAAGTTTATTTAGGTACAGGTACACATAAGTACAATTATCATACATAGTAACATATGCGTAAAAAACTAGGATAACCCCAAAAAAGTGTGTGTGTGTGTGTGTGTGTGTGTGTGTGTGTGTGTGTGTGTGTGTGTAACTCACAATCGTGAGGTAAATTGTTAATGTTTATATTTTTCAGCACAGGCAATTTTAATATTTAAAAAAAATATCGGTTGTTATTGGCAGTTTTTAAGCGAACCCGTAAAAAGTTGTCAATATCGATAAGTACAATACATATATGTATTATATACATTGTGTATGATGTACCCAGAAGTGAGTATTATCGTACGCATCAGCCTTTATCATACGGCTGGCAGGAAGGGGCTCACTGTTTTGGTGTGACGTCACGACCATGACGTCATATGGCGTGATGGTGTGTGCGTCCTGTGATTGGCGGAGAGGGCGTGGGAGCATTGCGCTGATTGGCTGATAGAATGAGGCAACATCGCGCGATGGTCAGTCGTGAGTGAGACGTGAAGGAGGTAATACGTACGCGGGTACGTGCGCGCAGCAAGCACGTACACGTACCTTGGTCAATATTTTCATTAATGTGTGGACTATTGAGGCAGTATGGAGGACGACGTCATGATGCCCGACGACCTGGTGGAGGAAGGTATGTGCCACTCCTAGTGCCACCTGTCAGTCAACCATCAGTGGAAATAAATCACTTTTGGTTAGCCTAGGTAGTTAACACACATTACTATGTAATAGTTTAATTATACCTGACTAAACTTATTTCCTTACTAAGAACCCCATTTATGTATGAAAAATAATTTTTAATAGATTTTACTCCTTTGGGTTTAGCGGTTAGTTTTGATTGTAATAATAATAAGTTTTAATAATCCCTTAATTGTATCCTTTGGTTATCCTACGTAATTTATACATTATGAAAACCAATAAAAGTTTTGCCCTATTGGGTTTAGCGCTTAGTTTTGATTGTAATACTAATTAATATTAATAATACTACAAGTTTTAACCTGTAATTGTATTTTTGTACTTTATTTTATTGCATCTTATTCCGAAATTCATATCATGCATTGGATTTACTGATTTTTATTGCAAATAATCATGATTGATTTTTGGTGTATGTAATTAGCTGCTCAGGGGATGATAATACAAGGACCATAATGGAAAGTTTTTTTTTTGGGGAGAGTTTAGCCTAAGTAATGTACAATATATGATGCAAGACAGTTTTAATTATGCAAAGATTGTGTGATTGTACCTGAGTAAGATTACTTAGTATGGCATTTTATTAATGACGTTCTGATCATCGGACTTACAGTTCGTGGAATAATAATATATTATTGATGGTATTTAGTAATGACAATTTGATGAATAATTCTTTTACAACACTTGGACTGGATATAATTATAATACGTTAATGTTACACATGTCTTGTTTATCATGGAATAATGTAGTACATAGTTGGAAAGTCACACATATTGTAAAACACAACTTTAGTGACAGTTTGGCCCACACAGTGGGATTTTTAGTCTTGTAAAGTAAAAGGACACAAGTGCAACTAATGTGACATTTATTGTGGCAACGTTTCGCTCTCCAGAAGCTTTATCAAGCCCCTTTTACTTTACATATTGTCGGTAATTCTACCAACTTTATTACATTTTTAGTCTTGTAAAAGTCCACTACATGGGTGAAATAAAGGAGCAAGTTACACTGCATTTGTCCATTTCCTTGGTGTCAGTATTTTATACCATTTCTCTCCAATAATACAGTCCCAGTGTGAAACATTTTTGTGATTGTAATGCCTTAACCTGAACTTTGTAACTTGCTTAGTCATAATACTCTACCATTGTAATATCCCTCGGACTTATTCTATGAACCCAAATTGTATGACCCATGTGGGTTTATCACCAGTTTGCAAATATAATTATCTGATCGGGGGATGCCTGAATGTTGGTGAGGTGTTTTAGACTTAAAGGGATGGAGTTATTGTTTTTTATTACCAGTCTGTGACACTTGTGGGTTATTGCACCCTCAGGGTAACCGCTACTCATAAGTTTTTTTTTTTTTGTATAGCATTACCCGCCCCCATCCCCCAAAAGAAATGCTGACATCCCAGGGACTGTTAAGTTAGGTTAGGTACACGTCCACATAAATACAGTTATCATACATAGTAATATAACATAGTAATATGTATATACAGTTCATTGGGACCTTACAATACAATGCAATTTTTATTTCTTTGCAAAGGTTACAATGTGTGATTTACATTTTACAAAGTGTTGTTAAGTACAAAGAAAGCTACTAACATGCTTGAACATTATTTTTTTAAGCCTAGCAGTAAGTAAGTTTATTTAAGCACAGGTCCACATTTATTTACACAAGATACGTATATAGTTTTATCATTGTTTACTTTTTTGGGGGGGACAGATCCATTAATCTTCTATATTATAACATCCATGCTATCCTTTCCATAGGAAAAGTAATTATTTGTTGAGGAAATTGTGTATTTGTGATAATAGGAAAAATAAAAATATCATGTATGTAAATTTTTAAAGTCAGTGTTGCAGTGGAAACCATTATATTTTGAACAGGTCGGAAAGAAACTTTGTGTTAAATAATTTTAATAATGTAGCTCAACCTAACCAAACCTAACCATAATATTGTCAGTTAGATTAGGTCAGGTAATATTGTGTTAAGTTATATATACAAAAAAGGTCTTTTCCTGTAGGTACTAAATATATATGTACATATCCATTGGACAACGCATGTAATACTGGAGAATTTACATCATAAAAATACACCCAGTCATAAAGCAAACATTGACCCATAGTTTTTATATGATTGGATGACATTTGATATACATATGGAAGTCCCCAGTTTTAGAGGGGCTTTACAGGTCATATAAGAGAAGACATGGGGGTTGATTCCCGTGACAGGTTTGTAACACCTGTTACCCCATTCATGTTGGATGCTTTGATGTCTGGTGAAAAGGTCTTGATCCGAGGCATTTTATGCTACCCTTTTCTTTATTAAACATATGAACATAAGAAAGAAGGAACATTGCAGCAGGCCTACTGGCCCATGCAAGGCAGGTCCAGTTCTCCTACCGGCTTAAGCCTTAACCTAGTCAGGTCAGGTCTCGTTCACTTAAGGAAGGAACACAGCATCTGACCTAGTAGCACAAGCTAGTCAGGTCAAACTCACACCCACCCACACCCACTCATGTACTTATCTAACCTATTTTTAAAACAACACAATGTCTCAGCCTCTATGACAGTATTCGGGAGTTTGTTCCCCTCATCCACAACTCTGTTACCAAACCAGTGCTTTCCAATATCCTTCCTGAATCTGAATTTTTCCAGCTTAATTAAAGCCATTGCTGCAATTCCTGTCTAGGCTAGATATTTGTAGCACGCTAATTTACATCCCCTTTATTCATTCCTGTTTTTCATTTATATACCTCAATCATATCCCCCGTAATTCTACGCCTTCTAGAGAGTGCAGATTCAGGGCCCTCAGTCTATCCTCATACGGAAGATTTCTGATACATGGGATCAACTTTGTTATCCTCCTTTGTACATTTTCCAGTGCATTTATATCCATTCTGTAATACGGTGACCAGAACTGTGCAGCATAATCTAAATGAGGCCTACCCAAAGATATATAGAATTGAAGAATAACCTGAGGACTTTTATTATTTATACTTCTTGATATGAAGCCAAGGATTCTGTTAGCTTTATTGCGAACACTTATGCACTGTTGTCTTGGTTTTCAGATTACTGCTTACTATACTCCTAAATCCTTTTTGCAGTCAGTAAAATTAAGATCTACATTGTATTTAGTTTATAAGTGGCATGGTTATTTTCCTGTCCAACATTTAGAACTTTGCATTTGTCTACATTAAACTGCATCTGCCACTTCTCCGACCACTGCATCAGTCTATTCAAATCATCCTGGAATGCTCTAATGTCCTCATTAGATTGATTGGACGACCTGTTTTGGTCTCATAAATAAATTTGCTTATGTCGCAATTTATTCCCTCATCTGTGTCGTTTATGTATATTGTGAGCAACAAGGGGCCCAACACTGACCCCTGTGGAACACCGCTTGTGAACACACTGCTGCCTGTTTGTCAACCATGCCTCTACCCAGGAAAAAATTTCTCCTATTCTGTGTGCCTTAAGTTTCCTTAATAGCCTCTGATGTGGAACTGTCAAAAGCCTTACTGAAGTCCTTATATACAATATCATATTCAATACCATGATCTACCTTCTCAAATTTTTTTTTTTTTTTTCAACAAGTCAGCCGTCTCCCACCAAGGCAGGGTGACCCAAAAAAAGAAAGAAAATCCCCAAAAAGAAAATACTTTCATCATCATTCAACACTTTCACCTTCTCAAATACCTTAGTGAAAAAAGTTAGTAAATTCGTGAGACAAGAATGCCCTTTGTAAAACCGTGCTGAGATTCATTAATCAATTTATGCCAGTCAAGATGGCTATGAGTTTGCCTCGGCAATTATTGATTCCATAAATTTTCCCACTATGGAAGTACGGCTTATTGGTCTATAGTTCGAAGCTAGGGACCTGTCACCTGCCTTGTAAATAGGTATTACATTTGCCATTTTCCACTTGTCTGGCACTATGCCAATTTGTAGTGATATATTGAAAAGATTGGCCAAAGGTATGCTAAGTTTCTCTTTACATTCCTTTAAAACCCTTGCAAACAGTTCATCAGGGCCTGGGGATTTGTTAGGTTTTAATTTCTCTCTTTGTCTGAAAACCATGTCACTAGTTACCCTAATCGTGCATAGTTTATTATCGTCCTGTTCCACATAATTTATTATTGCTGGAATTTCGCTAGTATCTTCCTGAGTAAAAAGTATGAGGAAGTAAGTATTGAAAAGTTCACACATTTCCTTATCACAGTCAGTGATCTGATCTGAGTTACTTTTAAGTGGGCCTATCTTGTCCCTAATCTTACTTTTGTATACCTGAAACAACCCTTTTGGGTTAGTCTTCGAATCCTTTGCGACTTTAGCCTCATAATCCCTTTTTCCTTTTCTTATTCCTTTTTTTATTTTTCTCTTTAATTGAATATATTGATTTCTTAACTGCCCATCCCCTCTTTTGATACACCTATATATGCCTCTCTTTTGACCAATGAGATGTTTTAATCTATTGTTTATCCATTTGCGATCATTTTTGTTAGATCTAATTCCCCTACTTCAAATGAAAGTTGTCTAGGCAGCTACAGCATAACAATGCTCTGAAAAAGTCATATTGACAACCAAACCACCTACCTGACCCAAAGTCAGGTCATCCCAGTTTAGCCCATCCAGGTAATTTCTCAGCCCCATAAAGTCAGTAAAGTGAAAGTCTAGAACAGAGACTTGATTGCAGTTCTCTGGGTAATTCCATGATATATTGAAACTAAGTGATTGGTGATCGCTTTCCCCAAGCTCGTCATTAATCTCAAGATTATTAATTAGTGATTCTTTGCTGGCAAGAACCAAGTCAAGCAGGTTGTTTCCTCTAGTTGGTTGTGTCACAAACTATTTTAAAAGCAATCCTGAACCATATCTAGAAAGTCGCTAGACTCAAGATTTTTTATCACATTGTTTCATTCAGTTTGTCTAAAGTTAAAATCTCCCAATAACACAACATTTTCATATCTAGATGCCTTATGAATTTTGTCCCATAGCAGTTTACTGTGCTCCCTATCAACGCATAGATACTTAGAAGTTGATTATTTTGGGTGCCGTCCTGGCAAAGAACCTAAAATAGACCTCACTGGAAATAGGCCACACTACTTGACTCACTTGAATTATCCTGGGCTACTAAAGCTCCAGGGTTAATAATTGTAATCATGTCTTCTTCACTTGTGTCAATTTCCACTGTTAATCCTACTTTACACAGCTTCCTAAAATAATGGTAATAAGTTTTTCATTTAAAACCCCATTGTAAATAAGTCACAGAAATTATTCAGCCATTATCAAGTTAAATCTACATATACTATATATATACATATGCCTTCAAGACTATTATTCAGAATACACACCAGTAATAAATTACGTCTAACTACCTACAGCATCAAGGCACCTACAGGTAGGTACCTTGATGCTGGCGAAGGTCGGGTGTGCCAAGGTATAGAAGGTATCCTCTCCTTCCTTTGGATCAAACTTGAGTGCGTCCTATTCCCCAGATGCTGTATGAGGTTCCACTGTATTTTGACCCTGTACTGGGAGCCTCTTCAGAAGAGGACCCCAGGTGGAGGTCGAAATTTAGAGACCAATTGATTTTCTGAGTTTTTCTCCATGTGGGCTATTATTGAGCATTGACAAGCGTTCATTACACTTTCTTTAGTTATGCATATAGAACAGTTGTAAAATGCTATTTCTCATAATTCCTTTTTTAATTGTAATGTATGTAAACATGATGTAAATTTGAAGGTTTAACATGATGTATATTTGAAGATTTAACATGAGACAGATTTGAAGATTTAACATGAGGCAGATTTGAAGATTTAACATGAGGCAGATTTGAAGATTTAACATGAGGCAGATTTGAAGATTTAACATGAGGCAGATTTGAAGATTTAACATGAGGCAGATTTGAAGATTTAACATGAGGCAGATTTGAAGATTTAACATGAGGCAGATTTGAAGATTTAACATGAGGCAGATTTGAAGATTTAACATGAGGCAGATTTGAAGATTTAACATGAGGCAGATTTGAAGATTTAACATGAGGCAGATTTGAAGATTTAACATGAGGCAGATTTGAAGATTTAACATGAGGCAGATTTGAAGATTTAACATGAGGCAGATTTGAAGATTTAACATGAGGCAGATTTGAAGATTTAACATGAGGCAGATTTGAAGATTTAACATGAGGCAGATTTGAAGATTTAACATGAGGCAGATTTGAAGATTTAACATGAGGCAGATTTGAAGATTTAACATGAGGCAGATTTGAAGATTTAACATGAGGCAGATTTGAAGATTTAACATGAGGCATGATTTGAGAGATTTAATTAACATGAGGCAGATTTGAAGATTTAACATGAGGCAGATTTGAAGATTTAACATAGCAGATTTGAAGATTTAACATGAGGCAGATTTGAAGATTTAACATGAGGCAGATTTGAAGATTTAACATGAAGCAGATTTGAAGATTTAATATGTTGCAGATTTGAAGATTTAATATGATGCAGATTTGAAGATTTCACTACATATTTGCATTATTTGCCTCTGTCATTTGTCAGTGTAACCTGTGATTTGATATGAAAGCATGTTTTCAAATTTAACAGTTCATTAATTTATGTAATTTTTTTTCTAGATCTATTGACACACATGAACTGGCCAGATCTAGACCTAGACGACATTAAAGACTTAGGTTTAGATTGGAGTGAAAGTGATGTGTTGTCTCATGGTGGAGTTGGAAGCAGTACAAACCCAGTGCTTGGATCTACCCCAGTTAATACCTCTACTCCAACTCATAATACCAGCTGCTTCAACACAACACTTAACAGCAACCTCATTGGCTCCAGCTTTCTAAATAGCAGTGACTGTTTTCTCAACAGCAGTGGCTTTCAGGTGAATTTATTAGTTATCTTATTATATGAATCTTCAGTTCCTTCATGCTTATGAGAAGTCTCAGAATTTCAGATAGTAATCTTTAATCAATTGACTTTGTGTAATCTGAAATCTCTACAAACCAACCATCTTGCTAGTTTTGATGATAAAAAATTGTGAATGACAGCAAAGAATTCATATTAATAGTAGATTCTGTGGTAAGCGTTTTTTTTTTTTTTACACATCTGAAAAGTAAGATAATTAAGCAAATACTAATGTAAATAAAAAATTTTGGTTTTCTGTATTCTTTAAAAATGAATTAATCACAATTTTTGTTTTATGGCTTCTCAGATACTCTGTGTTTTGGTAATTTTTAAAATAAGAGCATTGAAGTCAACTGAAAACATCATAATTTGTATGTGGTGAAAAAGTATTTTACTGACACTACTGGAGTGGTTGTGTTAGGTGAGGAATTAAAATCTACTGAGAGGTTGGCTTTAACCCTAGGAATTACTGATTTTAATTAAGATGAGCAATGGCTGAGTTGGAAATATTGACAAAAGGCATAATATTGGAAATGAGAGATCATAAAATAAAAGTGGGGAAGAAAAATGTAGTAGTTTTTGTGAGACATCTGTGGAAAGAAAGTAGTTAATCTGTAGAAGCAAAAAGGAGACTTTACTAGAGTATAATGGTACCAATGCTTTTATATGGGTGTGAGGCATGAGCTCTAAATGTTAGTGAAGAGGGGGCTGGAGGCAGTGGAAGTGTCATGTTTGAGAGCATTGGTGTGAATATAATTCAGAGAAGTTGGACCATGAAAGCTGAGGACTGTGGGGGTTACCAAAGGTATAATTCAGAGACTTGTTAAGGTAGTTGGACATTTAGTAGGGATGAAGAACTGATTGATCAAGATTATATAAATGTGAGGTGAAATGAAGTAAGGTTAGAGGTCATCTTAAAGATTCAGGGATGGAATAAAGGGGGTTCTGAGTACTAGGGACTTGAGCATCTAGCAAACTTTTGTGAGCATATTATATTGGAGTGAGCAGAGATAAGTGGTTTTTATAGCTTGATGTGCTAGGAGTGTGAGCAAGGGATTCAGGGTAACTGGTTAGCCAGACTTGAAGTTATAAGGTGGGTAGTACAGTACCTGGAGGGGTGTGATGTTGAATGAATGATGGTGAATGTGTTCCCTTTTTTATTTCAAGTCGCCCTACTTTTGTGGGAGATGGCCGGCATTTAAAAAATATGTGTACATACTGTTTTGGTCCGGTATTTGATTTATTGGCAAGTCATTTTTAAATATTTGGTAAAGAAATTCACATTTCACTATTCAGAGTATTACTTAAGCATTCACCAGCTGCTTACACAAATGTGTTTGTGAGAAATATCTTGTCTTTTACATTTCACATGACTGCTTCAGTGCCCAACAAGTTCACTAAGCTATGTGCTTTAGAGTAATTTTGTTAGATTTACAATTAGCTCATTTTTGTGCAAGTATAGTAGGTCATTTATTAATTTATCATTTTAATAGTTCTTCATTGGTTTAATCTTAAGGATGGTATAAGAAAGCTGCCTTGTTAGTCACTGTGTATTGTACATTTCAGTTGCATTTACTGGTAAAATATAATTTATTTTTTTTCCACAGGCTTCAAAGATAGCTCCACAACAACAGCAGCAGCACCAACAACAGCAGCAAACAGTACAGCAGCAGCAAACAGTACAACAGCAGCAAACAGTACAACAGCAGCAGCAGCACCAACCAGTGCAGCAGCAGCAGCACCAACCAGTGCAGCAACAGCAGCAGCAACCGGTACAGCAGCAGCAGCAGCAGCAATCAGTACAGCAGCAGCAGCAACAAATACAGCAGCAGCAGCACCAACCAGCACAACAACAACCACAGCAAACTCAGCAGCAAATAGTTGTAACATCAATAAGTGGAACTCCAGTGAGACAAGTGGCACATGTTGCCCCTCGTATTGGCCAAACTTCAATCATCAGTGTTCCTCAGTCCTTGGTTACCTCTAGTGGATTAAGTCAAACCCCTCAGCTACAACAACTGCTTACCCATCAACAAATTGGTGTCCAACAACAACAAATTCAGCCTCATACTGTACAGGTTCACCCCCAGCTTCAGCAAGTTACACTACCACAGAATATTGCAAAGAGAGTGGTTACCACTGCTGTTTCACAAGTAGTGCAACAGCCTTCTTTAATACAACAGCTGGTTATACCTAAATCGGAAACGATTACCACATCTTCAACTGGACAATGTATTACTGTACCGCATACTGTCTTGTATAAAACAGCACCCACGATTGCAACTATCACAACACCCATTCAGAATTTTGATCAGACTGCAGTTGTCACTGGTATTCCAGTTGTGCTGGATTCTGACCGTGTACCCCTAGCAAGAGTTGTCAGCTCTGGGTCAAAAATGATGGTTGTACCACAGAAAGGCGAGAAGCGAAATTCTCACAATGCTATTGAGAAGCGATATAGGAGTTCCATCAATGACAAGATTTTGGAACTTAAGAATCTAATTGCTGGTGAAGAGGCAAAGGTATGTAGTATTTACAGAAAGTACATTTAGTTTATATTTAACATTAGATGAAACCGGTTATTTTATATAACCGGACTTCAGTCCTGGAAATGGGAAGTACAATGCCTGCACTCTAAAGGAGGGGTTTGGGGATATTGGAAGTTTGGAGAGATATATTGTGTATTTTTATAGGTATATACTTCTAAGCTGTTGCATTCTGGGCACCTCTGCAAAAACAGTGATTATGTGTGAGTGAGGTGAAAGTGTTGATTGATGATGAAAGTATTTTCTTTTTGGGGATTTTCTTTCTCTTTGGGTCACCCTGCCTCGGTGGGAGACGGCCAACTTGTTGAAAAAAAAAAATGAAAGCAGGAATGAGATGGACTGTTTTGTTTGTTTTTATATAATACATTCATTCAGTTGTGTCATAAGGTCAGGGTAGTAGCTTTTGCATTAAATTTAAATAAATACAGGTTAAGTATTCATCGTTGAAAATTCTAATACAGCCTCACCTCGCTTAACAATGGAGTTACGTTCTTAAGACTATATCGGTAAATGAATTTGTCGTTAAGCAAGGAGCATACTATAATGGTAGTGGGTTTGTGTCAACCATCTTTGATATTGTTTTAATGTCACCTTTGCATCATTTATAACATTTTTAGCATATTTTTAGATGTTTATACAGTAGTGTACTGTATATTGTAATAAACAGAATAGAGGAAATTAGCTCTAATATACATTATTTAGTATGCATACTGGTCAGAGAGCCCGTCGCAAGTCTGATTTGTTGGTAGACTCCGTGATTACCTCATGTTTTATGCTTATTTTCTGCTCTATGGTGCGAAGGTATTGTTGAAAATGCCAAAAAGGCCTGCAGATTCCCCTATGGGTAATAGTGATAAAAAAGTGTACCTGGAGAGAGTTCCGGGGGTCAACGCCCCCATGGCCCGGTCTGTGACCAGGCCTCCTGGTGGACAGTACAGTGTACAGTAGTAGCCTTTTAACCCTTTGACTGTCACGGCCGTATATATACGTCTTACGAGGTACCGTGTTTGACGTATATCTACTCATAAATTCTAGCGGCTTCAAATCAAGCAGGAGAAAGCTGGTAGGCCCACATGTGAGAGAATGGGTCTGTGTGGTCAGTGTGCACCATATAAAAAAATCACTGTCAGACTATGGGCTCCATCCCGAGCTATCTCATATTCCAGAATCTGAAAAATTCTGAGATCAGAGGAACTTCGAACCCCAAGCATTTCGTATAAGGGATATTTAACTCGTACAAAATATGTTGGGCTACCATCTGTACTTTGTGAGTGGGGGAACTTTGTCTGCTGTTCAGTGAGTGGATGGTTATATTAACCCTTTTGCTGTCCAGACCCCCAAAATTAAAATTGCTCAAGGGAAGTTCCTTGATGCTGGTGAGGGGCTCTTGATCTAGTGAATTGGATCTCTGCTCCAGTTCCATGAATTGATCACCTTCCATACCCCTACAGGTGCTGTATATCCCTATGGGTTTAGTGCTCCATCAAGAGTATTATAATAGTGCTCTCAGTGTCCAAATTTAAAAAAAGAAACTTGTACTGTAGATTAAAAGAGTACATTTCCAGGTGGTAGTAAAAAAAAAAAATTACAATCGGTACTTGTTGAGATAGAGATGTAAAGTTGAAGGTCAGTGACCAGCTGGCAGTAACATTGGTGACTGCCAAGCACCCCACATTTTCACTTTTTGTGGAGTTTTCTAATTTATTATATTTTCCAGTAACTTTCATGGCCCATGAGAACCATATTATGCACAATATACATATATCCACCCATTGTGTTTAACACAGTGCCTACATTAATGTCATCACTATATTCTTTACAAGCCAAGTTTGCACAACCTAAAAACACACACACACACAGGTACAAATTTTTAACATTACTACTGTTGTAATTTTTTTTAACACTTGGCTGTCTTCCACTGGGGCAGGGTGACCTGAAAAAGAAATCTTCTCATAAAGTTTTCCTTATTTTTTTTTTTTTTTTTTTTTTTTCAACAAGTCGGCCGTCTCCCACCGAGGCAGGGTGACCCAAAAAAGAAAGAAAATCCCCAAAAAGAAAATACTTTCATCATCATTCAACACTTTCACCACACTCGCACATTATCACTGTTTTTGCAGAGGTGCTCAGAATACAACAGTCTAGAAGCATACACATATAAAGATACACAACATATCCCTCCAAACTGCCAATATTTTTATATTTAGTAATTTTATGCAAGAGAAGGGGTTACTAGCCCCCTTGCTCCTGGCATTTTAGTCACCTCTTACAATATGCATGGCTTACAGAGGAAGAATTCTTCTCTACTTCCCTATGGGGATGAAAGGAAGTAAATAAGAACAAGAACTATTAAGAAAATAGAAGAAAACTCAGATGAACGTGTATGCATGCGTGTACATGCACATGTCATGTGATCTGAGTAGAAGTAGCTAGATGTACCAGTTATCTTGCATGTTTATGAGACAAAGAAGGACACCACATTGTATAAAACAATTACAGGTTTGTGTTTCACACTCATTTGGCAGGACAGGAGTACTTCCCTGGGTGTATACAGGCTGAGGTCATATTCCTAGAACTGTTGCAATCTGTGGAACTCTTTGAAACATGGCTTCATACACAGCTATTTTACACTCCTCACACACAAAATGTGTGTCTACACTTTGCTATGTGTCTTGTATGTGCACAAACATAACATCCTGTCTGGAGTAGGAAGTCTTGTTAGAAAAAAATCACCATGCCTCAAACAAGAGGGTAGTTGGTGATCAGATCGGGGTGCAGGTGTTGTGACCTGGTATTTATGTATTATTTGCCTGATGACAAACAAAAGTGGGCATGCAGTGATCTGTTGTCAATCATCATCTCTGGTACATATATGCATTGAGCATTCACTGTCCACAAAAAGGAAGACGTTTCATGTACCACTTACAGCTCTTGCAGACACAATCAGCAAACCCAATCTTCATGTCACATTTGTGAACCAAATGCATATTGGTGGTGTAATCAATGACAGCCACAGGTTTCAAAATGGGTTCATGGATGTGTGTATTCACCCTTTCAGTGTTTTTTATTTCGTTGTGGTGAATTGATGTCATCGATATCACATCACGTTTGCCATGCCACTGTAATGCCATAATATTAGCATTAAACACCTGCACTTCACTGGTATCAATGCCTGTGTTGAATCTGGGCACACGCTTATCATGTTCACATGCAGGAATCACTGAGTAAGTTGCCTGTGTACTACCTGAGATATCCAATAACTTTATGGTTTCTTTCATTATTTAGCTTCCTGTGTACACAATCAGACCCAGTACCAGGCCAGTTTCACAATCACACAGCACAAACACCTTGATACCAAGGCAGTTCCTCCTGCTTGATATATACTGCCTAACTGACAGTCTACCTTTGAAAGGTATCAAAAGACTCATTGATGACAAGGTTCTTGAATGGATAAAAACACATACTGAACTTTGTTTCAGATGCATGAAAAAAACATCCCTAATCTTGATAACATTGTTTCTGCCAGGCCATGTTTTGTCTTTTGGTGTAGCATATATAACAGCAAGGATGTGATCACTGAAGGCTGGACCAGCATGATTGAATAATATGCTTATACATATGGGGCATAAGCATTATTGTGGCAAACAAGAGAACCATCTGAGCCACACTTGTCCTTCCACCAGTGTAGGTGTGATTGTCTTGAAACCATCGTGTTTGCCATTGGATACTGAAACTATCTTGTTGGTTTCCCTCACTGTAATTTCCATCAGGGGTTGATTAAAAAATAGTTCAAAGAATTGATGTTCATTGGCATCGTTCGTGAGGGTACAGTTGGGCAGGATTCAACTGTGTCATCAAATTGATGGTGATTGGCCACAAAATTTGCATTTTCCTGCCTGTCCCAGATGTGTTCTGGTGGGTAGTGCTGGATATTAGCAGCTGATTGTGGTGGTGGTGTGAGTAGTGGAGGTGGCTGTGGGTTATTGGAATGTTGAGTGTGGGCCATACCTCCCAGCCTGGGCTGGTGCTGTACATCTTGTCACTACCTACTGTCTCATGCGGTGGTGCCATTGCAAACAGTCTTATTCATCCTAATTGATGCAACTTCATCATCACTATTGCTATTTGTTGCTGGTGTTTGATCCTGGGATGTACATGTACTGTCTCCTTGGGATAGGAACAGACATACTACTACCAGATTGTGTATAACTGCATAAAAATTGATACTTCACAGGTGATATTGTTATCACTGCCACTTACTAGAATGGTCATCGATTGCTAGAAAATTAAAATCCACATCACTATCATCATTACTCATATCCTGAGCCCAGGCTACAGGAGAATATAAGCTTTTGTTTACTCTGTAGTAAAGGTGGACATGTTTCAAACGAACCAATCAAGAATTAGTTGTGGGTCATCAAGGTTTTCGACAATATTTCTGGCGTCCAGAACGTCAGTTTCAGTCAGTATACGCCTGTAAACAAAGAAATCCTTGTTGATTTCATAATCCTTATTTTAGAGCTGTCACTGAGAATAATACTTTCATTTCGCCTAGGAGTGAGGCTTTTGCGACTACATGACAGTGAACAGTGTGTACTACACATGGTGTTCCTACAGTGTACTCCATATGGTGTTCCCACAGTGTACTCCATATGGTGTTCCCACAGTGTACTGTTAGGGCTCAAATTTTTTGTATACTGTTTGCACTGACTTTGCAGAACCATTCTTTCATATGTAGGCCTACCAGGACTCTCATACTAAATTTAAAACTGCTAGAATTTGAGTAGATCTGCATCAGGGACCTGGGCATCAATGATGTAATTCTTCATGATGGCCACTGAAAGGGGTAAATTCTGTGCCAAGTCATAAATGTGTTTAACCTACATTCTGTGGTTTTCAGTCTTTGCCTCACTGTAATTTGTTCATTAAGTGTTGAACTTGAATGTGTATTTTGTAAGGTCTTAGCAATGATAGTAGGTTGAAGGAAAAATTATATTAGGAGAGCACTGGTGGCAAAGTCTCAGACTTCGTAAAATTGAAGAGCGCCATGAAGGTGTGGCTATTTAGAGAGAATGAATATATGCATGATGATTGCCAAAGGAATTACAAGAGGGATGGGGATGTTACAGTTCAGAAGGTCATTTGAATTAGCAACACTTTTGGCAAGTGCAACAGTTGGGTATCATAATTCTGAAGCATTTCTCCTACACAGTAGTCTTCATTAGTGGAAGCAGAGGTGGCAAATGTGGTGACAGTAGAAGCACTGGAGAGGTAAAGATGATATTATAAATACATCATTCTTGACATAGTTTGAGGTGGTCAGTCCCTCAGCTTAGAGATATGTTCAAGGCTGTGAAATTGAATACTTCTACAGGCTGAGGGACTGACCACCTTAACCCTTTCAGGGTCCGTCCCGTAGATCTGCGGCTTTACGATGAGTGTCCAAACCGTAGATCTACGCCATGAGCTCAGCTCACTCTGATAAACTGTGAGTGGTACATTTGGGCCTAGATATGAGAGAATACATCTATGTGGTATATGTGCACCACATAAAACAGATCCTGCAGCACACTGTGTATAATGAGAGAAAAAAACTGAAATCATGATTTTTCGATTAAAACAGCAACTTTGCAGTGTTTTTTCGTATGTTTTTATAGTTGTATTTGCAATTTCTTGGTCTCATTTGATAGAATGGAAGACATATTACAGAAATAGAGATGATTTTGATTGGTTTTAGCACTGGAAATGGCTTGAAACTGAGCTCAAAGTAGCGGAAATGTTAAATTTTTGCCGATATTCAAGAGTAAACAAACGACCTCACACGTCTAATACACGTCAGCTGGTGGGTCTAATATACATTCACAAATATGGTGATGATATTTATACAATTATTACAGTATTGCATAACAGTAAATCTTCTATTTTTTGGTGTGAATAAAAATTCATTATGTGAATAAAAAATCAAAATGGAATTTATTTGTAAAGCCTCAAAACATAACTAATGAACAGAGGAAATGTTAGTTTAGTGCCAGGAATGCCTACATTGTTTATTCTGGACCCTATTTTGAAATTGGAATATTTTGAACTTTGTGTTAAATTGGCCAAATTAACAATTTCCGATCACTTTATTTTGTAGTTGAAACAGTTGACTTGGCGATTTCTTGTGCTCAATCGATAGAATAGAAGTAATACTAGTGAAATAGCTAAGAATTTGGTTGATTGGAATAATGTAATTGGCCTAAAATGGGAGTCAAAGTCGGCAAAATCGCCGATTCGTAAATATCGCTGACACATCAAAATTCGCGAGAGCATAATTTCGTCAATTTTTCACCAAATTTCGTACTTTTTGTTTTATTACCTTCACAAAAAGATTCTCTACGATTTCATAAGAAAAAATAAAAATTTTTTTTTTGAAAATTCTTGGACACTGGTGTGACTCCAGATTTGGGCCTTGGACCCTGAAAGGGTTAAACTACTACTATAAGGTTGCTGGACTGATTACATCATCTTTACCTCCACTGCTTCTACTGTCTCCTTGTTTGCCATCTACTGTGTGTAGGAGAAACATTTTGGAATAAGTAAACCTAACTGTTCCACATATCTTGTCTGTTTGTCAGTATTGTATACCATTATTGTAAATATTATATTGACACTTCTGGCAAAACATATATTAAATATGATGGTAAATGTCTTTTTTCTTGGGAGGTGGAGGAGCACACCACTGTTGTAAGAAATGGTCATTGATAAAAAATAATAAATGATAGTTCTCATAAAAACATAGTTGACAACATAAGCTATTTTGGTTGCATTAATAAACTAGCACTGTATGTCCTTTGTGAATTGAATAAATAAGTTTGCCTATTCTACATAAAGTTAGTATTGTCTCAAAAAAATTATTTTAAATTTGTACCTTGTACAAGTACATTCACATTAGTGCTTAGGTCTGAATAAATATTTGTAGTTATAGATGATAAAATCAATTTTGGTAATATTTGTGCAAGTGTAAATTATTTATAACTCTTTCAGCTTCACAAATCTCAAATTTTGAAAAAGGCAATTGACTACATAAGGTACCTGCAGACACAAAATGCTAGATTAAGAACTGAGCTGAACACTTATCGAATGCGTGACGGTAACCAGAAGATCACAGATCTTTTGGTTGGACCGTACACCCCTCCTCCATCAGACATTTCCTCACCTGCTAGATCACCTCTCTCGGATTCTTCACTGCCGCCATCACCTAAATCAGAAAAAATGGAAATAAAAGAAGAGGTAAATTTTATTTTTGTTTTATTATTAGGTATGTACAGGCAGACACACTTAATGAATAGGTTGAGTTTTGAGAAACTTTCAAAGTTTCAAATTTTCATAAGTGAGATATTCCAGGGAGAAAAGAATTTCAGCTTGAGAATTGTGAATAAAGAAATTAACAAAAATTTTAGATAAATGTAATAAATTCTTCAGAATGTAAGTAAAGCCTCAGTGAATGATCAGACTGAATCAATGGAACTAGTAAATGTGGTCATAATTGATCTGATTTCCTTAAAAATGGCTCTAATAGACATCTTTGTATTATACAAATTTTGATCATTTATATTTAATATTCTACTGTACAACTATGAAATAATTACTTTCCTACTGTACAACTATGATATACTACTCTTTAGTATTAAGTAGAATGTAAGCCAATAATGTTAAGTTGGCCCATAATGCCAAGGCATTAATAGAGGCTCTCTTTGCATTGCAACCCACTATTGTATATACACAATCTCAGTGTACTGTTTGCAAAGACGGTAAATAAATAAATAAATAAGAGTTTCGGCTGAACAAGGTTCATAGGTTCATCTAAGTGGATGCTGTGGAGTCAATGATGTGTTTAATAAAACACATCACTAAGTATTTTCATGCTAAACATCAGTACTATATACTGTATTTAATATACCAGAAATTAAAAAGTCAGAACACTCTCCCCAAAAATGTTAATTTAAAAACTCCACATTTCTTGATCAAGGTGGGAGAAACAGGAACACTAGAGCAGGGAAAGGTACAGAGATTGTTTACTATTGTATAGAGCCAATGAAGCTGACCTAAAATATTGTTTGGTATTGATGGTTCCTTTTAAAGCAGATCTCTCGAGGGAGGTTTCTTAATGTTGGTGAAGGGCTTTTGATGCAAGGAATTTGACATGACCTCCTCCTCCTCTTTGAATTGAACATAAATGCCTTCCATATTCCCAGCTGCTACATGACCCCTACAGATTTAGTACTTCAATGTAAATATAATATTAAAGGCAGGAGAAGTATCGGACCTGGGAAGATAAGAGATCATTTACTGCCTGCACAAAGCCAGTAAAGTGTTTAAACTACTGGAAACTCCTTAAAGTACTGTACATATTTTGAATTTAGTCTTTGGAGCGAGCAAAGCCGAGGTAGATGCACATTAATCTATACATAGACTGTACTTGAGGGCTTAATCCAAAGTCTGCACTACTGTCACAATGTACAGGGGACAGATGTGGAAGAAAATGTAAAGTAGACCCAGTAAAAAGCAAAGGCACCATGGGCACAATAAGATAACAATATTTCAGCAACTGTGGCACAAGGTTATTCATCCTGCTATGAGAAGATATCAGAAATATTGCTGGAATAAGTGTAAAAGTTTTCAAGAGGAAACTGGACCACTACTTTTGAAATGCCAAATCAGTTTTATTGTAATGGCTATGTAGATCATTGGGCTGCCAACAGCAACAGCCTTCACTTCATCACATTTAAATTGTCCAGAACTTGTACCATCAGTGCATGAAGGGGCAATAAATGTAGTGTTTGTTAGAGGAAAGAAGGAACTAGGGGGCACACAGCCACCCCTCAAGCGTTGTTAATGGTGTGTACATATGTCATCACTCTACCTCCCAGTTTATATTTTTCTTATGTTACTCTGCCAAATGCATTTACTCTTCATATATGGGTCATTCAATGTAAGTGTAATTTTTTGTTTGGTACAATTTGGTTAAGAAAAGTTTATTTTTAAAAACAAGTTTTGGAGGAAATTTTCACATTCCCTTTCATTTTATTTTTTGATCAAGTATGCTGGTGTATTGTATGAAAATGCTCAACATAATGTGTTATGTTATTCTACCACTTGTTTCCCCCTTAAAAAAAATAATTCTTAGATGGTTAATGGATGGGCCTGTCTTATATCTTTTCTCTTTGAGGGTATTCACCTGACTGTGACGTTTGGTTTATAGGTCTAAAATTGGGAGTACTCAGGGTAATGCATTTGCTATGTAAAATTATTCCTTTGTCTTCTATAATTAAGGTGGAAATTGTATTTATTAGTAAATAATAGTAAATGAGTGGCTGCAAAGTTTGACTTTAAGAGCAATGTAATAAAATTTTTTATTTATAATTCAGGAGGTACCGTCGCCAGGTAGTAGCCCCTCATTCGTAACAGTGAAGCGGTCGATGGCGGATACTTCCCGCCTATTGTTATGTGCGATGATGTTTTCGGTCCTTGTTTTCAACCCCACTGCCATCTTCACCAAACATTTTGCACACAGAAATTCTTTGCCATATGATGAAGTTCCTGGAAGAACAATTCTTGAGATGGGTCCAGTTGAAAGTAAGTTGCTCTTTTATTTTTCCAAAATGTGCAGTATATTTGCATTCATTGTATGTATATTTTTAATGCCATGTAAAAAAAATTTAAAGGATGGAATTTGAAAATTTGGTTGATAATACTGTTATCTAATTTCAGGTAACTTCTCCATTCAGAGTGTTCTGTATTCCTCCTTTATGGTGTGGATGGTTAATTTTGTCATAGCTGCCATGTTTCTTGTTAGAATATTTGTCTATGGAGAACCAGTCACAAGGAGAAAGTCAAGTATAGCAGAGATATTTTGGCGTCATCGTAAACAAGCAGACGTTGACATGGCCAAGGTAGTGTAAGTGAAATTAATTCTCAAGCAAATTTTTAAATTACAATATATTTTGCTGAGATTCTGTCAAAAAACATTATTATAGCAGAAGATATAATAAATGCATAATTTATTTTTTAAGAAAGGCTAGTGGTAAGCTTTGCACAAAGAAAAGCCACAGTAATAGCGAATAGAGTTTTTGAAACTTTGTCAGACCAGATTCTATCAATTACTGTAACCAAGAGTAAAACTAGTATTGTTATTGTATGCTTGGAGTAGTATATTAATTTGCATTACTGCTCTTGAATGGATAAAATGAACAGGTTGACATTAGAAAACATCTGGCCAGGAGAGCCTAAAGGAGGGGATGAGGATGTTGCAGTTTAGATGGTCATATAAACTGTAATATCAGCACATTTTTGGCAAGACAACCATTGAATGAATGATGGTGAATGTGTTAGAGTAAACAGTTCAGAGATATACATTTACAGCTGCATTAAATTAATTGGGTAGGAAAATGTGCTTGCTTGTAAGTTTTTTTTTTTTTCTTTGTTTTTTAATCAACTGCCATCACTTGTCAGGGCAAGGTGACCCAAAAATTAAAACGCTTTTAAGAAATCGTTGTCTTAAAAATAATGCAAAAATCTTGAACACTTGGTAGTGTTCATGAGGAAAGTGAAAATATATTCATTTCATGAATTCCTAGGCCACTGCAGTTTGATGCTTAAAATTGTTCTTTTGCTAGAATACTTAATTGGCATTGTTACTATCTAATAATATGACATGGTTAATACTGCATCCCAAAAGGACATGCATAATTTTTTGAGAATTTTAATAATACATTGTACTGTATATTTTAATATGAAGTTAAGATAAGATTTGTTAGGATTTTTAACCCAGAGGGTTAGCCATCCAGGATAACCCAAGAAAGTCAGTGTGTCATCGAGAACTGTCTGTCTTATTTCCATTGTGATCCCTCAATCTTTTTCCCCAGGATGCCATCCACATCAGTCGACTAACACCCAGGTACCTATTTACTGGTAGGTGAACAGGAGTAGCAGGTGTAAGGAAATATGCTCAACATTTCCTCCCTTGCCAGGGATTGAATCACAGACACTTGGTGTGTGAGGAGAGTACGTTGCCTGCTGTTATGCGCATAAATCTCATAACAATAGTTCTGAACAAAAATCTCAGATGTCTTGCTTATTTAAAAAACTAGATTAGGGAGACTTATCTAAAATTAAACATGAATTTTATATGGAAAACTTAGAGTTTGATTGAATTCCAGATTTAAAAAAATCTGAAATCATTGCCTTTCTCTGAATTTTAGAATTAGTGATATAAAAAATCCTATTTAGAATTTTTGCTCTCGTTTGGAACATAAGGCAGTTTTGGTATTAAAATTATTATTTTTTTATAGAATTTGAGAGCCAAAATGTTTCATACTGTCAGTATGTCACCAAAACTAAAAATGTTTTTTTTTATGCAAGTGTGGGGGAGGTGCATGAGACATTATGTAGAATGAAACGGGGTAAAGCAGCTGGAACTGATGGGATCATGATAGAAATGTTAAAAGCAGGGGGATATATAGCATTAGAGTGGTTGGTATTTTTGTTTAATAATTGTATGATTCAGGGAAACCGGTTATTTTCATATAGTCGGACTTGAGTCCTGGAAATGGGAAGTACAATGCCTGCATTTTAAAGGAGGGGTTTGGGATATTGGCAGTTTGGAGGGATATGTTGTGTATCTTTATACGTATATGCTTCTAAACTGTTGTGTTCTGAGCACCTCTGCAAAAACAGTGATAATGTGTGAGTGTGGTGAAAGTGTTGAATGATGATGAAAGCATTTTCTTTTTGGGGATTTTCTTTCTTTTTTGGGTCACCCTGCCTCGGTGGGAGACGGCCGACTTGTTGAAAAAAAAAATGTATGAAAGAGGGGAAGGTACCTAGGGATTGGCAGAGAGCATGTATAGTTTATATAAAGGGAAGGGGGACAAAAGAGATTGTAAAAATTATAGAGGAATTAGTTTACTGAGTATACCAGGAAAAGTGTACGGTAGGATTATTATTGAAAGAATTAGAGGTAAGACAGAATGTAGGATTGCGGATGAGCAAGGAGGTTTTAGAGTGGGTAGGGGATGTGTAAATCAAGTGTTTACATTGAAGCATATATGTGAACAGTATTTAGATAAAGGTAGGGAAGTTTTTATTGCAGTTGTGGATTTAGAAAAGGCATATGATAGAGTGGATAGGGGAGCAATGTGGCAGATGTTGCAAGTATACAGAGTAGGTAATAAGTTACTAAATGCTGTAAAGAGTTTTTATGAGGATAGTGAGGCTCAGGTTAGGGTGTGTAGAAGAGAGGGAGACTACTTCCTGGTAAAAGTAGGTCTTAGACAGGGATGTGTAATGTCACCATGGTTGTTTAATATATTTATAGATGGGGTTGTAAAAGAAGTAAATGCTAGGGTGTTTGGGAGAGGGGTGGGATTAAATTATGGGGAATCAAATACAAAATGGGAATTGAGTTACTTTCTGCTGATGATACTGTGCTTATGGGAGATTCTAAAGAAAAATTGCAGAGGTTAGTGGATGAGTTTGGGAGTGTGTGTAAAGGTAGAAAGTTGAAAGTGAACATAGAAAAGAGTAAGGTGATGAGGGTATCAAATGATTTAGATAAAGAAAACTTGGATATCAAATTGGAGAGGTGGAGTATGGAAGAAGTGAGTGTTTTCAGATATTTGGGAGTTGACGTGTCAGTGCATGGATTTATGAACATAAGAACATAAGAAAGGAGGAACACTGCAGGAGGCCTGTTGGCCCATACTAGGCAGGTCCTTTACAATTCATCCCACTAACAAAACATTTGCCCAACCCAATTTTCAATGCCACCCAAGAAATAAGCTCTGATGTGAAAGTCCCACTCAAATCCAACCCCTCCCACTCATGTACTTATCCAACCTAAATTTGAAACTACCCAAAGTCCCAGCCTCAATAACCCAACTAGGTAGACTGTTCCACTCATCAACTACCCTATTTCCAAACCAATACTTTCCTATGTCCTTTCTAAATCTAAACTTCTCTAATTTAAATCCATTACTGCAGGTTCTCTCTTGGAGAGACATCCTCAAGACCTTATTAATATCCCCTTTATTAATACCTATCTTCCACTTATACACTTCGATCAGGTCTCCCCTCATTCTTCGTCTAACAAGTGAATGTAACTTAAGAGTCTTCAATCTTTCTTCATAAGGAAGATTTCTAATGCTATGTATTAATTTAGTCATCCTACGCTGAATGTTTTCTAACGAATTTATGTCCATTCTGTAATATGGAGACCAGAACTGAGCTGCATAATCTAGGTGAGGCCTTACTAATGATGTATGACCTCTGGACTTCTGTTGCTTACACTTCTTGATATAAATCCCAGTAATCTATTTGCCTTATTACGTACGCTTAGGCATTGCTGTCTTGGTTTAAGGTTGCTGCTCACCATAACCCCCAAGTCCTTTTTGCAATCTGTATGGCTAAGTTCTACATCATTTAACTTATAAGTACTAGGGTTATGGGCACTCCCAAGCTTCAGAACCTTGCATTTATCTACATTGAACTGCATCTGCCACTTTTCTGACCAAGAATAGAGTTTGTTTAAATCCTCCTGAAGTTCCATAACATCTACGTTTGAATCAATTATCCTACCTATCTTTGTGTCATCGGCAAATTTGCTCATATCACTAGTAATTCCCTCATCAAGATCATTGATATATATTATAAACAACAACGGGCCCAAGACTGATCCCTGTGGAACGCCACTTGTTACAGATCCCCACTCGGATTTAACCCCATTTATGGACACTGCTTCCTGTCAGTGAGCCATGACTCGATCCACGAGAGCACTTTTCCCCCAATGCCATGAGCTGCCACTTTCTTTAACAGTCTATGGTGCGGAACTCTATCAAAAGCCTTACTAAAATCTAAGTAAATAATATCAAATTCTTTATCATGGTCAACAGCCTCAAAAGCTTTACTGAAGAAAGTTAATAAATTAGTTAGACAAGACCGACCTCTTGTGAATCCATGCTGAGTATCATTAATCAAGCTATGCTTATCGAGATGGCTTCTTATAATCTCGGCTATAATTGACTCTAGTAATTTGCCTACAATTGAGGTCAGGCTTATTGGGCGGTAATTTGACGGTAACGACTTGTCCCCTGTTTTAAAAATAGGAATTACATTAGCCATCTTCCACATATCAGACACTACACCTGTTTGAAGAGATAAATTAAAAATATTAGTTAATGGTTCACAGAGTTCCATTTTGCATTCCTTAAGAACCCTTGAAAAAACCTCATCAGGACCCGGCGACTTATTTTGCTTCAGTCTGTCTATCTGCTTCACAACCATTTCACTAGTGACTGTGATGTTACATAATTTATCTTCTTCTAGCCCACTATAAAAATTAATTACTGGAATATTGTTAGTGTCTTCCTGTGTAAAAACTGAGAGAAAATAATTATTAAAAATCGAGCACATTTCATTCTCTTTGTCAGTAAGGTGCCCATAGTTATTTTTAAGGGGACCTATCTTATCTCTTAACTTTTGTTCTATAGACCTGGAAAAACTTTTTGGGTTAGTTTTAGAATCCCTAGCAACTTTAATTTCATAGTCCCTTTTAGATTTTCTTATCCCCTTTTTAATGTCCCTCTTAATGTCAATATACTGATTCATAAGATGACCCTCACCTCTTTTGATACGCCTATAAATTCCTTTCTTATGCCCTAGTAGATATTTGAGCCTATTATTCATCCATTTTGGGTCATTTCTATTTGATCTAATTTCTTTATATGGGATAAACATTCTTTGAGCAGCATGTATAGTGTTCAGAAAACTGTCATATTGATATCTCACTTCGTTACCCCAGTCAACAGATGATGAGTGTTCTCTAAGCCCATCGTAATCTGCTAAGTGAAACTCTGGGACTGTTACTGAGTTATCGCTACTATCGTGCTTCCATTCA